TTTAACATGGTTCATTCTCTTTCGGCAGAGATTACCGAATCTATTGCATCTCGGGTGAAATGGTGAACTATGTCGTCATCGCCAGTTCATAAAATTTTCATTCAAATCCCATGTCCAATGTCACAAGCCTCCAGTCTCACTCGGTGTAATAACTTGGTAACCAGAAAGATTTCGGTCTTTCCTAAATATAGTAATACCTTGCATAACAGTAGCTGCTTGCACAGAGCCTTGTTAGGAGTGGGGGTTGTAATACGCCGTAGAAAAATATTTAGTAATGCAATGTTATAATGCCTAGGTTTATATTTACGAAAAATAACACTAAAGTTAACTGGCATTTCATGGTTAATTGAACTCAATACATAGAAATGATGGAAGTATCTGTTGTGTTCTTAAGCCACTTTTGTTTGCAAGAAATACACAAGTATGCCGTTGCAGCAACACTCTTTATTTACCAACTCAAACCATCGACTGGCCGAAACTCCAACCAAGGACAAAACGTGATGAGTAGTCATGCGATTTATGACGTAATAAATACACCACATCAACTCCCTCCTAAAAATAAGAATTGTTAGTAGCAAGATTTAACGCTGACAGACATATACTAATGATGTAGTAACCAGAGTTTTACATTAAAAACAACTTAAAATTGAAATCTATCTGGTTTCCTGCTCCGCCAAAGTGAGTAACGTCGTTCAATATCTGTAGTCGACTTTGGTGTCTGATTCTGTGATTCGTCAGTTACCGTTGTCCGACCGATGGGAGAGTTCGGTGGCGGTGATTCGATGTTTGGAGACGGCACTGGACTTTTGGATACTGTACTGTCTGTTGCATACGGTTCCACACTCGCAGGCTCGTCATGTTCAAAATGATCATCTTCAGATTCAACCAGTTGCTCTTCATATCTATGTTCTTGCTTGATCTTCAAGTCAGATTTAATAATCTGGTCGATATGCCTCTTCCAACTAACATTAGGAGCGACACTGACAAAAGTCAGTGGCCCTATTATTTTTGTTATTTCACCACGTTTCCATTTCGAGTTTCCACGATAATCTCTAACGAGGACTGATTCACCAACGCTAAATGATCGCAGAGTTTTGTTACTCTTTGTCCGCACTGTATATTGTTTTTCTTCAACACGATTACGAATGTTAGGTTTGATTAAGTCCAAAATATTACAAAGACGTCGTTTACAGAATAATACAGACGGTGCCCCACCTGTCGTGCAATGGGGAGTATTTCGATACCCCTGCAAAAAATCATCCAAAAGTAAGTCGAATTTGTTGGCATCGTTAACTGAGCGCATAGCGCGCTTGAACGTTTGTACGAATCGTTCGGCAGCACCGTTAGATGCCGGATGATAAGGTGCAGATTTCTTATGCTTGATACCATTTGCTTTCAAAAAGTGTGCAAATTCATGTGAACAAAATTGAGGCCCATTGTCGCTCACAAGATATTCCGGTAAACCATATCTAGCAAAAAGACTTCTTATGACACGAATAGTACTATTGGCGTTAGTTGACGACATTTTAATAACTTCCGGCCATTTTGAATATGCATCTACTACTATTAAAAACATCGCCCCTTGAATGGCTCGGCAAAATCTACGTGGACTCGGATCCATGGTGCTTGGGGCCACTCCCAGTGGTGTAGAGGAGCTTTCGAAGGTTCATTTTGCTGCATTTGGCAGTCATTGCAATTTTTAACCATATTTTCTATGTCTTTGTCTAACCCTGGCCACCAGAAATAACTTCGAGCCAAAGATTTCATTTTCACAATTCCAACATGACCATCATGCAATTCTTTTAACAAACGTGATCTCAGAGAATTTGGTATGATTACTCTTGAATCCTACATCAAACAACCATCATGAACCGTTATTTCTTTCACGTTTATGAAAATAGTAGGCTTGATACTGGGTTTCTGTGACTGGGACAACGACCACCCTTTCATTACAGAGTCATATACTTCCATTAAATCAGCGTCACAACACGTTTGATTTCTAACCTGTTTACACGTTATCGGCAGAGAATCACAAATGGCAAAGCTGTTTACTGTAGCATCAGTAATATCGTCTTCACTTTCGTTCTCTTGTGCTTGAAGCGGCATCCTATATAACCCATCTGCGTTACAGTGTTTTGCCGTTAGTTTGAATTCAATTTCATAGTCCAAACCTGCTAGAAACAAAGCATATCTCTGTAACCTTGCAGCTGTTGCAGCACTGTAACCTTTTTTGGATGGAAAATAGACGTTAGAGGACGTGATCGGTAACTAGAGTAAATTTCCTCCACATACGTAACAATAGAACTTTTTGATCGCCCAAATAATTGCAAGGGCCTCTCTCTCTATTTGTGAACATTTCCTTTTTATTTCGGTAAGCGATTTTAAAGCAAATTCTTTGGGACGTTCGGAACCATCTTTCATTACATGAGACATTGCCGCCCCGAAATAATACTGTGAAGCATCACAAGCCAGTTTTAAAGATGAAGGACCATAATGAGTTAATACAGTGCTCGAGGTCATAAGCTTTTTGGCTTCAAGGAAACGCTTTTTCGCAGTATTTAGTCCACTTCCATCTGCAATTAGCCCTGAGCAAAACAATTTTAAAAGATACAGTACAGATGACAAATTCGAAGTAAATCTTTGATAGTAATTAACCATGCCAATAAACAATCTCACTTGACTGACGTTTTCCGGCCTAGGTGCATCACGAATGGCTCTAATTTTAGCATCCGTTTTGTGAAGCCCATTACAATCAACTTTGTATCCACAGAATTCAACGCTGTTTTTAAAAAATTCAGTTTTACTTTTATTAACTTTGAGATTATATTGTTGCAAACGCATAAGAAGTTTTTCAATATTGTCCAAATGCTCAATGTTATTATTACCCGTTGTTAACATGTCATCAAGAATACATTTTCTTCTTTGAACCCCGTTTAATATTTGTTCAATTGTTCTTTGCCAAATAGCCGGGGCGGATGCCATGCCAAATGGAAGCCTATTAAACCTATACAATCCCTTATGAGTATTAATTGTCAACAATTCCTTCGACTCCTCTTCAACCTCCATTTGTAAATGTGCTTGTTTCAAATCTATTTTGCTAAACTTTTGTCCTCCTGCAAGAGATGTAAAAAGGTCATCTATTGTTGGTAATGGATATTGATCTACACAAAGAACATGATTTACAGTCACTTTAAAGTCAGCGCAAAGTCGTATTTACCGTCTTTCTTAAGAACTGAACTATTGGAGTAGCCCACTCACTAAAAGTGACTTTGGTAATTATATCTTCACGTTCAAGTCTTTCCAACTCCGCTTCAATTTCAGGCCGAAGCACAAAAGGTACAGGCCTAGGAGGGAAGAATTTAGGTATGGCGCCCTTTTTCAAAACCAGTTTTGCTTTTGTCTCTTTTATGCAGCCCAAGTCATCAGGAAATACATCACTGCACTTTTTTAATAAATATTTCAATCAAGTTTTGGTTTCGGGGAACAGACTGGTTCTGTTGCCTCACGTATATTGAAAATCGTTCTACAGTCCAATTGAATTTGATTAATCAATCACGCCCAAACAAACTAGGACCGTTTGTGCTTGCTACGTACAATCTGGATTATACCTTTGGGCATTAATACTATATCGACTTTAAGGACACCCAATGATATATCTTTTCCCCGGAATAAGTCTTCAAGCAAATTTTTGTATCATTCAAACGGATATGAGACAAATGTGAATCGTAAACATTTTTAGAAATTATAGACACAGCCGATCCCGTATCTTGTTCCATTCTTAGTGTTTTCCCACTGATAATCGGAAAAAGCCAAATTGCACCATTTTCGTTTCTAAGTTCGCTATTTATACGTGAATTACCAACCTCTATAGACGACGAATTCCTCAAGTTAGGACTATCACTGCTGTCGTTCTCCATAACATTTGCACTTCGTGGTTTATCATTATCGCATCGGTCATTCCACGTCTTTTCTCTGGACACCACTGGCTTACGTCGTGTGCAAACCTGTTGAATATGACCTCGGCGCCGCAGTTAAGACACTGGAAGATTTTATAACGACAATTTTTGAAATCATGTGCAGTTTTACCGCAGTTCTTACACTCTAAAAAATATTGACTCAAATTTGACTCAACGAGCCTCCTACTCTTTCAATGAGTCAAGAAATATTTGACTCTTTACTTGAGTCACGCACATTAACTCTTCTTTGAGTCAAATTTATCCCTTGATAGAGTCGTCAAGAGTCATGTGCGATGACTCCTCTTTGAGTCAAATTTATCCATTGATAGAGTCGTCAAGATCAATTGCGATAACTCTTTTTTGAGTCAAGTTTCCAACTCGATAGAGTCACCAAAAAGTGAGTTATTGGTTTCCTCTCCAATTCCCCCAGCCCTATTTCATTTCAACTTTCTTAAGTTACCCATGCATTTATCAAAAAAGCAGAAATTAAATATACCAAATTTTTCTTGGAAAAGAACTTCAAAAACACTCAAGCGTGAGCGCATCTGCATTTTCGGTTGACCGCTAATTGTGTTGCTATATAAGGGTATAAACAGCAACACAATAAACAATCACCGAAGATGCAGGACTAAACCACAATCACCAATGAACAAAGAAATGAAAATAAATTTCACAGAAAGAAATCATATTGAAAATTATGACCCCAGTGTTTGCTCACATCGACGACTCAAAACTGTAGTGGCCTATGTCAAATTTTGGCGATATGAGACAATCGCTTTTGAAAGTTCCAAAAAAAAATCTCATTTTGAGATGAACATCGGGCTATAAAATCTGCATTTTTGAACGCTAAAAAGAGACACTGCATAATTCGTGTATACATATCGATTTTTTTATAAAGTGTATAAACCATCAAGTCTTACTCTGACATGAAGGTTTATCATAGGGCCAAATCAGTATAAAAACAAAATAAACAAAGTGGACACACAAAAATTACAAAGGTCGGCATAAGCACATTTTCATTTTGAGCCGTCTATGTAGGATCAGTTTTTTTTACACAAAGTCCAATGCAGCCAACAATGAGGCCACTGAAGGTTTGGGAGCCATGCCGAAAAGAATAGCTTCAAAAAAATTGAAGAAAGTTGCCAGTTTTTCATAGTACTCAATTCCAAATATCCAAAACGAAGCGAACAGTCTATAAAAAGCCAACAATGATGAATTTCCAACTGGCACCGCTTTCTTGTCAAGAATTAAGAAGAATTCCTCAGGATCAGATTTCGGACCAATGACCAATAAAAATGGCTGTCTCAATGATGGAGGCTTGGTTTCAGCATAATATCCAACGTTGCAGCCGGCCTGAATAAAAATGAATGAATAAGTTTCCAAAGGATGTCATCACTTTGAAAACTCATTCAGAAGCATGTCACGTTGCATCTGCTATGGTATTTTGCAAACAAGTTAGGAAACAGAGTACGCACTCCTTGAAACTTAAATAATGCCCACTGCTCTTGTCCTTTCTTCCCCTTTGTGTTGAGAGGTGGCAAAATCCTCGATAGAACTAGAAGACTCTTTAGTCCATCTAAAATGTGTCAAATACTCGAAATATGCTCTCACACAAAATACATAGATATAATAAAGCTATTTCAATGCCGCCCAGTTGACAATGTGGCAGAGATAGTTCTAAGTCAACCAGTATTTATACATAGAATATCAGTAATATAAAGCATGAAGCACATACCATCATCACACTGAACACAATCCTGATCCATTTTAAAAATTTTTTGAATGAGTGGTGGAAAAATTTCCATAAACTTCTTACACTCCGGGCAATTCATCTCAAATTCACAGTTAATCTGAGTTCACAAGAAGCACATGTGAAAAAAAAGATGCTTTCTATATCCGTACTTCTTAAAAATATCTTGATGTGATGAATACAATAATAAACAGCTTATGTACATTGCACTTTACATCTAAATTTATTGCTAACTTACCAATCCACCCTCATAAGCATCACAGAACCTTGGGTACTTTTCTAAAATGTCAGTTAAGGTCATAGGCTTCAGCTGTATTTCAAGCCTACGATAGTCATGACTTTCCTTCATTATGTTATATATTTCTGCCTTATTGTCCTTGTTAGGTGTGGTTTCTATCAGCCATTTAATCTGAAAAGCAATATACATATAAAATATTCCCATAAAATACTAGCTGCGGAGAAATAAAAATAACCACATATAAAAAAATCAGAAATTTCCCACCTTCAGTATAGGGCTATCGTCTTCCAGAAGTGAGGCATCCAGTTCAACAGTACTCCCACTGGTGTCAGCATCTTCGCTACTCCCAAAACTGGAACTACTTGCATATGTTGAGTGGCTTCTCTTTTTTGTTTTTTATACATCTTATCTTCTATTGCCATTTGTTTTCGTAAAGTTTTGAGCTTGTTTTCTATAAAGCCGGAACCACGAAGAGGATCATAATAATGGCCCTAAAAACATTTTTAGCAATTTAACAATAACAACAAAAGAGCCCTAATGACAAAGCTGACAGGGAGCAGACTTGAAGTCAGTAAACACAGAATCTTATTCAACACCCATTTCGGCAACTTCAGAAGAGAGGAATACAGCCTTAATGACGAAATATTGTGTACAAGATTCATGGAATTGAATAATGCCTTGTAGGGAAAGCGAAATTATCTCAAAATGAAAATACGTACATATCCGGTTGTTCCCTTCAACTTCAACTTCAGCTTTGGAAATTCCTCGACACACGTCGAGATTCTAATACTAGTTGGTGGAATTTTTTCACATGCCGTAAAAAATTGTCAAGTCGAGTAAAGGTTGTGCAACATTGATTTTGAGAACAAGTAATATTTATATATTTCTTCTTTGACAGATCATGTTGGTGACGTAAATGAAGTGATAGTTCATTTGTCCCCCTCATCTTACATTCACAACCTTCCATTGGACACACATAAAAATTCATTATGAGGCTCAAAAGGGCCTAAAACAAATACCAGTATACCGGTATATACCAGGCCTATAGCTGTGCAAGCAGTGTGATAAAAGTACCAATTTAACACTGCAATGAGTTATCGGTAACTGTTTAAGAAAGAAATAGATGGCAGACTGACATAGGCTAGTTGTACTGTTTTATAGACCCAGTAGACTGCAGTCATCAGGTTGTAGGCCTGTGTGTCTGTAACTTGAGATAACAGCATGTAGCCTACTTCAGACATAAAGTTAACTTAACAGTCAGACAGTAGGCCTACCGGTAGCTTAGGCCGGCAGACCTAACTTGGCTCAGTAGCCAGTTGTGTTATACTGCAGTTCATGCTCATTTCGATAATATTATTTGAATCCACTGCTAGCAATCACTTACCGACAACGGACAATCGCTCCGAAACTGTTAGCACTGTCAGAATGTAGCAGGTGAAAGCTAAATTCCATTCTTTCATAACAGCAATTCACTCTGTAATCCAACTGTAAAAAACAACGACCTAGCCTACCCCATCCAACTGTCCTATTGGCCTCTCACGCAAAATAAAAATCCCAGCATAATATCTTTAACCGTAACTGATAGGCCACGCAAGCTGTGAGTGGCCATGCTGCATGATAACCTTCGGCCGAAACCACCGCCGTCGACAACGCGAGAAGGAAAATGACGACTTCGAAAACAATTTCCCCGCCCAATTCCACGCTTCGCCGGTTCCAACTTTAAAAAATAAACAGAGAAATTAGCGGCGAGAGAAAGAAGGCGGTCGTCAAACGAGAGAATATTTGACTTAAAAACGAGTGAGAGTGCGAGAGAAATGACGCTCGAGTCACGATTGAGTCATTTTGTTCCTAACTCTTCCGAATTAGTCACGCGATTGACTCAAGTTTTTTTAGAGTGTACATTTTGAGGTATTAAACCATTGCTTTCTAGAAAAATATTGCTCCTTCACCATTGGCATAACACTGCCACTTGATATTTCGACCACATCCCTGTTTGCCAATTCCATTGACGTTGCAATTTGAAATGCCCTTTGAAAATCAATTTTTTCCTCATCTTTTGCCAAAAACGTTTTTCTAGTAGCCTCATCGAGTATACCAAAAATTGAGCCATCGCAAATGAAATCATCCCTCAATGGACCGAATTTACACCCCTCAGACAATTTTCTTAGCTCTGCTGCATATTCACGAACCCCTCCAGAAAACTTTGATCTTATCTGTGAAATGTGAACCTTTCCACAAAAACGGAACGTTTCGGTTTTTAATGATCTTGCAAGGTTTTCTTTATAACATCATATGTTTTGGAACTAGATAAGTCGGGTGCCAAAAGATTGTGTAGTATTTGGTAGGTTTTAGTAGGCAAGTTTGCAATTAACATTGGTACCTTTTTCTCATCGGCAATATCATTTGCAATAACATACTGTTCTAATTGCTCACAATAAAGCGGCCAATCACTCCCATCATATTGGATCATATTCTTAGCCATTTCTTTGATTTACAGGGAATTTGTTACGCGGTCCCACATATAAACAATAACAGTGTCTCACCAACGTCTTTGCGCATATAAACAATAACAGTGTCTCACCAACGTCTTTGCAATCGCTGTAAATTTACGATTCATCCAAATGTGTGTATCCCATTCTCGTCGCCAGTTTGTTGGAGTTCTTAAGCCCCTTTTGTTTGCAAAGAAATACTCAAGTATAGGCGTATGCAGCACGATCCCTTTATTGACCAACTAAAACCATCGACTGGCGGGAAACTCCGACCAAGGAAAAAACGTGTTAACTAAATCGTATGAGTAGTCATGCGATTAATGACGTAATAAGTACACCATACTCTCAACGCTTTCAGATTTAATATCAATGATTCTTATCTATGAGCCAAGCATATCGCACGCAAATTTCATGAGTGTCTCACACATTGGCACCGAACAAGTCGCCAGGCAAGCGATCTCTAATATGTTGGAAACTATCAAATTCAAGTTTGTGTAGAGTCTGTGAAACTTCTCACTCCCTGAATGACCCGAGATGATTTTAATAAAGTTAATACTACCGGTTTAACCACTACACCACTGCGATCACTGAACTCAATGATTATTCAGGGTATTTTACTCTTACTATGGCCTAAGTGTGGCACATGGATATATCTCATGCCTATTATATTCATCAATGTTATTATTCATTCAGTTCAAGGAACTCTATGTCAGCGACAATAGAGATCTTGGTGTTGACGGGATGGGAGTCACAGGTATTATTGTGTCACAATGTGAAGTAGAGAAGGTTGGAATGCTGGCATGCAATCTGACAGCGGAAGCAATGAAAGCATTCAAGGAAAATGTTCGGGATGCAAAGGTAAAAATATTTTAAAATGAAACATTGATTATTTAGAGATTAGTGTAACGTATCAAGCTAGGACCACATATAACTGATGGTATTAGAGCTAGTGTGACTATGCTAATATGTAATTTATTTATATTGGGTGACAAAAATCAAACTGCATTGAGTTAATAATGAAGTATAAGAAATTATTCGGGGTCATATCGTTTATTCAGTTTGTATAGTTTCATTACCATCACTCCGAACAAGGCTCATATAAATATTTAGTAATGCAATGTTATAATGCTTGGTTTATATTTACAAAAATAACACCGAAAAGTAACTGGCATTTCATGGTTAATTGAACTCAAAACCTAGAAATGATGGAACTATTTGTTGTGTTCTTAAGCCCCTTTTGTTTGCAAGAAATACACAAGTATAGACGTTGCAGCGACAGCCTTTATTGACCAACTCAAACAATCGACTGGCCGGAAACTCCGACCAAGGACAAAACGTGTTAAGTAAATCGCATGAGTACACTGTTAAAAAATTTTACATGGAATTCCATGGCAGTAATTTTACGGTATTTTCCGCCTAAAATTACCAAATTTGCCTCGTAAAAATTACAGGACAATCCCTTTTTCACAGCCCAAATTGCAGGGATTTCTCAGTAAGAATTATCTAACTTTCCGAGTTGATTTCCCCTTAATTCCAAGTGAAACCGACTTGCTTTTCTCTGTAGAAAGTACACGACTTGCATGTATACTTGACATGGATATTCGTGTAAAATGCGTGATAGAATTTCCCTGTAATTGCAGTTACAGGGAATTCCGTGCAGCAATTCAAACTTGGAATTCGTGTATTTCTAAGTAACTCCCGATCTTGTGACAGATCAACTAAAAACAAACTTAGAGAAGTTTATTCTCAAAAACGAATCACCCAAAAATCTCAGGCACAGACAGCAAGACAGGGGTGTGGAACGACCCCAAAACCTTCAAAATAATTGAGGTGATTTTTAATCCTATTTTCCATCACTATATATGTCATCAAAAATAACAAATTTCTCAGCTGCGGAAAGACTTTAAGACAATTTCCAAATGACGACCATGAACTCAAGCTGAGAAATCCTGATATTTGACCCCCATCCCCAAAATAATATTGTTCTCGGCTTCCAATTGGTACGGTCCAAGTCTGATGAACAGTACATTATATTATTCAAGTTTGATTTTGAAAATTAGTGGATTTCCCAAAATCAGGTTTCGAGGGAAATTTTAACAAAAACAGCCAAAAATTTTCATTTTGAATATAGTCTGGAGTGATTTTCTCGTGTTTTGATACTCCAGAGCCGTATTCCCTTGCATTCTAAGTAAATACCTTAAATAATTTAATACCAAAATATGTTGAATAACTTTTTGGCAAGAAAAAAGACTGAAAATTATTCAAAAAAAAGGTTTCCAACAAGTCGATTTAGGTACTAAATATACATAGTCACCCATCTCTCGCTCATTTACCGCCATTGATAATGATGTCACAAATTTAATTTGCATATTGAATACGTTAACGTCCTTAACCAATGACAGTACTATGAGCGAAGGATGGTGACTGCATATGATGACTTACTTGTGAAATCTACTTGGACTATAGTTCAAAATCTAGAAAAATACAACTTGTTTGATCGATTTTGAGTTTTTCAATTCAAGATGTCTTACAATAGAATACAAGGAATATAACTATGAAATATCAAAACCCTAGACAGGAATTGCACCAGACTATTACAATGAAAGTTTCCATAAATTTCTCCAAAAAAAAAAAAAACGATTTTAGGGAAATCCCCCATTTTAGGGAAAAACATTTCCTCTCATTTACAACTCACACGTTAAGCGAATATCACACGCATCACGAGGCCACAACTGGCATAAAGCGGCGAAATACCGCTTTTCCGATGAAATTAAACTGAAGGTTCTCGCACGTTTAACGAAAAGTTATGACATTTTAGGAGGGGTATACAAAATTCTCCAACCAGAAAGGTTACATAGAGGAATAACTCAAAAATAGCAACAGTCTTCTTTGGGTACACCAAAGACAAAATATGCCATGAATACATACGTTATTCCATCAAAAAATCCTCCACTGTTGCCAATATTATCCTCTCAATAGACACCTAGTAAGAATATTAGAATGTCAGAGAACCGCTTGTAAAAAGGAAAGTGTACTTGGCTCAAACCCAAAGCCTACATATTTGGAGAGACTTACAACGCAGTGCTATTGACACACATCAAGATAAGATGGTGGATCGTTTTGCTCAAGAACAGGAAAACCACAGTGTGAACAGCAATAAATGAGTCTCGAGTGTATAACATGAGAAATCATAATTCTACTTGCGAAAGAGTACGTGAGAGATATATTTAACAGGTCTTATTCATCATTGCTCAAATTTGGCCGATGCTAGCACAATTGGCAAAGTTAATATTGGTAATATTAGAGATTTAGGAAACCTAATATCGAAGTTATATGCTTTGTGGGTGTCTCACTTGATTTTTTGTTTACTACTGTACTATGACCACATATGGTAAAAGCACTTCTCTCTGTAACCCACTACGTGCACATGCACTATTGGTAACACTTATCTGCAGACATTGATCGATTTTTCGTCGATGTTATTGAGCAACTCATTCTGCCCTGCCTTGTAGGTGAAATGTTCGTCTAGAAATCCACTCTCAAATAAGTAGGGCCACCCTGTCTGAATGTCTGCAATCGGCAAGTTGTTACATTATTGATATCACGCCTGTGTTCCGTGTGATGCTTTTATCATATGGGTATCTTCCCGCAAATAACAGCATATTTTACTGATTTCTTAGAGTCTACTCTATTGACATGCTTGACAATCATGCTAGAAGTTTGAAAAGATTTCTGACAACTTGTTAATGAACAATTTAAATTCATTTTGGAGCATTTACATTATAGGCCTATAAGTCATCTTAACTTTCTGACATTATATAGCTATCACATAGTTCGGTAATATACTGGTATCGCCTACCCATCAGTATAACTCAAACCTCCTACATTGATCAACTTCCTCATTAAACGGAAGAACTCGCCTTCTTGGTCAATGGCGGATCGCGGTTCGTGACAGTCAGTCGCTTAATCGCTTGCCGCATACGTTTTGACGCGAGAGAATGGGCGTCTGTGATTGGTTTGTTCAGAAAAGTGAGAATACAGTAGTCAATAGAAAAGCAGAAGAGATGACGCACAGTAAAATCTCATCGTTCTTCCATGAATTCCCAGTATATTTTTACGACGTCACAAAAACAGGAAAGTGAAATGTATTTTTAACTGCCATTTCCTTGTTAAAGCTATGAAATTTTTTAACAGTGATAGTCATGTGATTTATAACGTAATAAATAAACCACATCACCTCCCTCCTAAAAATAGGAATTGTTAGTTGCAAGATTTAACGCTGACAGACATATACCAACGATGTATTAACCAGAGTTTTACATTTAAAACAACTCAAAATTGAAATCTATCTGGTCCCCTTCTCCGCCGAAGTGGGTAACGTCGCTCAATATCTGTAGTCGACTTTGGTTCTGATTCTGTGATTTGTCAGTTACCGGGGTCCGACCGATGGGAGAGTTCGGTGGAGGTGATTCGATGTTTTGAGACGGCACTGGACTTTTGGATATTGCACTGTCTTTTGCATCCGGTTCCAAAC